ATGACAACCGTAGCGATTGGTAAGCAAGCACTCTGCTCCTCGGCGACTTGCCTGATCCACGCGCATTCTCCTGTAAAGTCATCCGGAGGCACGAATGAAGGATGGACAACGTCCATGGTTGCCGCCGAGTCTCTAAGTGCTCGACACGCTTTCCCATTCACGCTAATTTCTAGGATATACGGCGCCAACAACCGCATGTTGTTTTCCGATTCTCGGATTGTTGCAAAAGCAAACTTTTGCTTACAGTTTATCGCGATGTGCCCTTCCTTTTTGCAGTTGTAGCAGATTAGCGGCTTCCGTGATTCAAATGACCGTGTGGTATCAGTGCGTTGTTTAGGAACCTCACTCGATTTCTCCGCTTCCGTTTGCCCTTCCCCTACAGTGTCCTTCGTAAGAGACGGGTCCTTCTTCAAATTACGGTGCGGAGCGGGTTTCCGTTGATCATGTTTTTTTGAAAAGCCCTCTTTCCTTTCATCCTTTTCAACGCGCACTGCCCTGCTATGCAACTTTCGGCGAAAATAATACTCCTCAGCTAACTCTGCTGCCTTGTTTAGGTGTACTTCACCAAGTTTGTCCTGCAGCCAAAGTTTGACATGCTCCCCGATGCAGCGGTAGAATTGCTCCAATGCAACGCATTCTACAACTTTATCGCGGTCGTCATAAACACCTTCGCCCTTGAGCCAATCAATTAAATCGTCTTTAAGACGAAACGCGAAGTTAACGTGTGACTCATTCCCATTTTTAGCATACCGGAACCTTTGCCTGAAAGCCTTGGGTGACAACTTATAGCGTCTCAAGAGCACTTCCTTAACCTCGTCATAGCTCTCAAATGCTTCCCTCGACAAGCAAGTTATCGCGTCGGACACTTCGCCGGGAAGAAGAGCTAACAGGTTCTGCGCCCAAAGAGACCGCTCCAAAGCGTTTCGCTCACAGACGTGTTCAAACTTGACGAGATACTTCGCCATGTCCTCGCCTACTACGAACGGTGGCAGTTGGTCCCGAATTCTATAACCGCTGACCTGAATCGTCGGAGAAGCTACGCTAGGCGCCTGCGAACACTGTAGGATTGCCATTTCTAGTCGTTTCAACTCGAGGCGCCCCTGTCTCTCGGCCTCCTCGGGCTCGCGACGTTCGCGCCTTTCAGCTTCTTCACGCTCGCGAGCTTCTCGCCTTTCAGCCTCCTCGCGGCGTGCTTTGATATCCACCCAGGCCTCATCGACTTCCTCAGCCGACACTCCCTCATCCTTCATGACCTCAAGGATCGCTTGTTTTTGTTTCGCACGGCCCAGAGTAATGCCGAGTTCCTCACAAACTTCGATGAGTTCCTTCCCTTTAAGGTTCTCCATCGTTCACACTAGCCTCTTGCTGTTTGCCCCTGTTAACAATTTACTTGCCGTACCCACTATAAGTCAACTAGTAAGACGCGCAAGCAATTTTTCACACTCCCGTGTTTACCCCCTCCGCATTAACTTTGGTTTCAAAGCGCTTCTACTTGGCTTGAAACGATCAAAGCTCACTTCAATGCTTCACACAGCCCTTCTCTAAACTACTACAACCTGAGCTAGAGTAGTCTGGTGAACTGAGGGGAAAACATCAGGCACTCACCGCATCAATGTCGCTGACGCCGGCCGATGCCGCAGCTTGCCAACCACTGTTGCGGAAGCGAACCTTCCGAACGACGTACTCAAGGGCGCTACGAATCTCACCGCTGCAACCACTGTTGCGTACGACGGTGACGCCAACACGGTCCGAAGGCGCCATGCTTCGAACTCCGCCGGGAAGATCACCAGCCGTTTGGTAGCGTAGGTTTCTCCAGCTCGCGACTGCTTCTGCGCAGAGCTGATAGACGAGCGGGACTAGACGACGGTGAGTTAAACAAGTTTTATCTACAGCATATATACAGAGGCGTTACAAATTCGGCACTGGGGCCGACAGAGACTCGAAGAGCCGAGCTCTCTTCTCTAACACATAGGTCTGCTCTCAAATAGGACTGCTAACACATAGCTCAACTCTCTATTCACATAGCTCACACAGCTCAACTGCGACACACATGTCTGCCGCTCCAACAGGTCTGCTCGCGCCGCGCCGCAGGGCTTCTTTTATATGCACCGGGTCTAACCCAAATGTCCATCCAGAAGCGCCGCTGGTCGTGAGGTCAGACTCCTCCAATGGGGGTCGCCGCTGGGCCGCGTCATTCTTTCTCATCGAATCTGGGAGAGGCTGCGCTGAGGTGGCTGCACCCAAGGACGAGTGACGTCGCTAGGCATTGCGTCAGCCGCCAGACCAGGAAGACGCCGTTTGTTTACTCGACGGGCTCGCTTGCTGAGGTGACTCACTGCACGTGGCACGCCAGAAAGGCGCCGTCGCCTGGTGACGCCGTTGAGTTGTTCACGTCAGGCGGACTTGCGGGCTGGCCTTGACACAGATTGCCTTTTTCAGAGGCACGGACGTTCGCTGTCGACCTCGCAGGCATAACAATATGCAGAAGGGGCAGGACGATGTGCACAAAACGTTCATTATTTATCTAAATTATACTGTTATACACAGTGTGCTATTCCTAAAGTAGGAGCATAAATAGCCTTCTAGCGGCTGCTATACAGTATGCGATACCAGCGAAGTCTTGATATTTATGTGTGCATTTGCGTGTATGACCTCTTCTGTAATTCGTTCATGCCTCTATGTATGTTCCTGTGATGCGTACTTGCCATGATAATTGCATGACGTATTAGTGACCACTAATTATTCTACGTGGACAACTGCTCTTTGCTTAATATACTATATATGCTTCTGCAATTAAAGCATCTTTATGTGGCAATGTACATGCACATATAAACGCCGGTTAAATAAAGATTCAGTAATGCACCAATAATTCGAGTCAGCATTACACAAAACTACTTTGCGAATTAGAAAGTTTCACTAATCAATATTTTGAGCAAGTTTCACTAATCAATATTTTGACCAAGTTTCACTAATCAATATTTTGCTACCTTCATTTAATAGGAGTTGATTGATTTTTGTGAGAGAGTAAATAATTTGTATTTAGTTGGCGAATTAGCAGGCCTTTTTCTTACAGTGCACGTTTAAACGAATTACGTTTAACATTGTTTAAGCCTAAATACGTTAACGCAAAAATGACGACTGAGTGAATCGTCGTGTAGGAATTCGTGGAAGCGCCACCTGTGTTACGTAGGACCACCTGCTTCGGCTGGTTACCCGAAGCAATGCTTTCAAAAGTCTAGTCTATCTCTCTCTCTGTGGTTTATATTGTAAAACAGTTCATCGCACACACAATTCACAATGTTCATCGTGTGCAAATGTGTGTTGCACTGACCTACACACGTTCGCAATAGTGTTTCAGGCAAAGTCGCCCATGTGTGTAGGTAGGCGGGACAGTATTGCAAGAGGGTATGAGGGCAGTATGTGTCGCGCCGGCACGCAAGCTAAAAGCTTGCAGCCAGACACAAGGATCGCACCAGCGTCAACACACATCACAACGTAATAAGAAGCACTTTTCGAATATGTGTCCGAGCCCCCGACAGCGGCACAAGAAAAAACAAATGAAGGATGGGGAGACCAGCAGGCGGCTTGAGGCGATACCGAGAAGGAAAAAACAATCACGAGGTGTATCTGCGTATGTCGCCACCGTAATGTCTGAAAGACAGACACCATGGCACAGAGGCGTGGGTAATGCGAAGAATGGACAAAGCTTCGGAGAAACACAGCCTATATAAGAACAGAATTATAATAGGTGCGTAGCTTATAAATGTACCATGCTTCTAATGAGCCAATCCTTTTTACAATACTACTGTATTGTAAAATCTGTGGGTGGGACTCACTAATGTTTGAAGTTGGGAAAGCAGCACTTCGACGAGAATGTGTTCTATTTTCGGAAAAATGCCTAATTTTATTCCCATTAGAATCCGCGGAAAATGCGCTTATGTTCATTCCCATTATTTCCTCCACAGTTTTGTCGCCATTGTATTCCCATTCTATACAGGGGACGCGACAATGCGAATTGATTCCGGATTCATTCCAATTCCAGGGGGTGGCGACTATGGCAACACTGATACGCGTTATATACCCAATGTTTTTTGTTCTGATAGCCAATATATGGACACTCTCAGCAGGATTTTGCCGCCGGCGTCAGCGTCGCCGTCAGTCATTGTATCTATCTATCTATCTATCTATCTATCTATCTATCTATCTATCTATCTATCTATCTATCTATCTATCTATCTATCTATCTATCTATCTATCTATCTATCTATCGATCTACTATCTATCTATCTATCTATCTATCTATCTATCTATCTATCTATCTATCTATCTATCTATCTATCTATCTATCTTATCTATCTATCTATCTGTCTGTCTGTCTGTCTGTCTGTCTGTCTGTCTGTCTGTCCTGTCTGTCTGTCTGTCTGTCTGTCTATCTATCTATCTATCTATCTACTCTATCTATCTATCTATCTATCTATATATATATATATATATATATATATATATATATATATATATATTATATATTTATATAAACGAAAAAAAAAAGGTCTATCATAATATTCCTGCGCGCCGAAATCGAACGTTTGACCTTTTGGTTGTGAGTGCATAGCGTTAGCCACAGAACCACGACGGAGCATCTCATTCAGCGTTCAAATGACAATCTCTTTATATTTACCACTTATCGCTGGCAATAGCCATCTCGGTGGATCTGTAGTGTTTTGAGCGCTACAAGCCAGATGGTGCAATGAGCGCACGTCACCAGATTGGCATCACGTGGTGGCGCGCGCTCATCGTCTCCCACGCGTACTTTGCCCTGCGGAGAGAAATGTGGTGGACGCTCAGGCGTACGCCGTTATCTCGCGGGGCAGAGAATCGTACAACTTGGGCTCTCACGGGAACTATTCTGTTGTAGTTACCGGGCGCACAAAGTTCACTGAACCATCGCAGAGTGACTGTTTGCGAAAAGGGCACGGTTTTCAGACATAGTAACATCTGAGATGGTTATTCACGTTGATCTGTACCTGTGAGTACGTTGTGTGCTTCATTTGAGCGTGAGAGACGCAAGGCGCGTTTCGATATGCTTGCCATTTTTCGCGTGACCTTTCAATTTGTTGCTATCGCGTTCATTGCTTCGTCTTTGCGGCAAAGCTGTGACGTTGTTGAAGAGCCACGCCACACACCCTGGTGCTAGCCCACAAGCGTAATACCATCCGCTGCATTGGACAGCAATTCTTCTACGCATCCGTTGTCTTGTCGCCATTTTATGGAGGGCTGTACCAGTGAATGCATAGCGCGCAACTCCTCGTCTGAGTAGAACACGTATTGGGCTGTCAGCACACTCGCCATTGTGGGCACTCAACAAGCTGCCACGCGCGACGCCTGGAGTGGCCGTCGACCATGGAGTTCAAACCACTTCCGCCACTAGCATTTCGAACACGCGTCTATTACTTGCTCGCTGCTCATAGCGGCGCGCAGTAATCGTGATACTCGCTCGCTGCGTGGAGCCAGTATGGAGCCTCACTCGCTGCGCTCAGGCGAGCGAGCCCAGCCAGTGGAGTTACTCTATATGCTGCCTTTAGGAAGCAGGGTTGCGTCACTGATAGCACTCGTCGCTCGCGGCCCCATTTGCCCAGCGCGTTCACGTGCGCTAAAAATGGCAGTTTCCACATACAGTGGGAATCGGTGATATGCGAAACACGAATGAGAAATGTTGATATGTCACAACGTTACGAGGAGGAGGTAAATGATGCCGTACATTACTTCCGTGTCATGATTATCATGTTTGGATGTGTCGTTTACCTTCATAGTCTATTCACGTCACGTGATACCAAATTCAGTATATGTGGAGCTAGCAAAACGGCCGCGAGCACGCTATAAGCATGGTATGTTGTCATGTCCTTGATATGTTGTCATGAAATGATACGCATGGCAGGATTATGTCTGCACCAGTCAGATATTTCGTCATCCATTGACGTCACGCAACACCAAGTTTGGTATATGTGGAGCTAGCAAAAGGGCCGCGAGTGCATCATGATGGACACAATATACCCCTATGCACAGTTCATGCACACGCACGCTGGGCACAGTGACGATACTTTGGCAAAACGCGAGCAGTCTGACGCCAGGCGGGACCAGCGTCCGTTGGTGCGGCCCGACGGCAACCAGTGCGAAATGCTGCATTTCGCGCCGATGCGTTACCCAGGCAACACTGTGTCTTCCTCGTTTCATGACGGAGGGACGCCGGACACGCTGAAACGTGCGTGCGTCAAAGCTACGCAGTGCGGTGTGCGCCTGCGAGTATATGGCAAGACCGGCGCCTGGTGTAGCAACGCCGGCGTGACGCAACAAAATGAACGCCGGCGAGCACGCGCACCGCTTCACATTGAAATGTCATGATTATCATGTTTGCACTAGTCACATACCTTCGTCATTCGTTGGCGTCACGTAATACGAAATTTGGCATATGTGGAGCTAGCGAAATGGCCGTGAGCGCATCATCAGTGTAGGATGTAGTCATGTTGCTACATGACACGCATGTCGTGCTTATCATGTTTAGATGTGTCATTTACCTATGTCGTCCGTTCGCGTCACGTAATACCGAGTTTGGTACATGTTTGGTGCAGCTGACAGACGGGGTGGCTTTCTTGATTGATTATGGAGGTGTGAGCGGGCAACACCGCGGACCTATGCGCAAATCTGCTACCTAAAGGTAGCATATACAGTCACTCCAGTCGCCTGAGTGGTGGCGCGCCATCTAGTGAGCGCTTATGAAACCAAGAGCACAACTGCGCCTCTAGCGAGAGAAATGAGCACTAGCGTACACACCGGCGCAACGACGAGAGTGAAATCCCAAGCAAAAGGAGCAAGCTCCTCAAATCATGAGCATATACAACCATCGTTTTGCTAGAAATGGCTTTGAATCTCGTTCTAATACCGCCAGATTATCATCATTGCCTTACCTTCACTCCCAACGAAATCATGCTGACCTCTTATTTCTTTACAAACTATTCACGGTATGATATCTTGCCCTTTGCTTCTGAGTTCTGTAAATTTTCGAATTCTGTGTAAATTATTCAGAAAGAATTGACCATTTCATGTAACTGCCAACGTTTCCCAACACTCCGCCATTCACAAAATATAGTGTCTATGATGTTCACTTTCTTGGTCTTCATGGTTTTCATAGTCCACAGTCATTGTTTTTATCTGAGCTTTGCACTGTCGCTATAAAGTGTTTGCAATGTATATGTTCTTCCTTTTTCTGTTTTTGACAAAGCCTTCTGCAAAGTTGTGTATATTTCGCATGAGTTTTCACTCCCAGTCTATTCGTCTCATTTTGTTCTTTATTCTTCCCGTTTTGCGATAATTTTTTGCTGTCTGTAAGTATTCACTCTCTTTATTTGATTTCTTTGTCTTAAGGCTGTCTGTATTTAAATTTTTATTTATATTGCTTAATTTTTGCATGTATCTGCACAAAGACTTTATGGTAGTTCCTGGGCACGTTCGATGAGTAAGTAACAGTAATAATTGTTAAAAAACCATATTAGTATTATTAACATATTTATAATATTACTTATTATTATACCTTCCTTGAACACTGAACTGTTCACAAAACACATAACCTCTATTTTGTACTGTTCACAAAACACATAACCTCTATTTTGTTAACTTTTATGCCCTTGATGTTTAAGGGCCAACTTTTGTATAGCGGCCCCCGTTCGCCCCTCGTAGCCGTTGTAGTGTATAACAAGTATAACAGTTTGACCTCCAAGGTGGTGCCGGTGAGAGATTTCTTCTGTGAGTTGTTGAACAATAAAAAATAGTGCTGAATGTACATGCCAATGGCTGCTAATGGGGAATTAAAAATAGGAGCATTCGGCTTTTAGTTAACGCGCACGCTGCGATCCCCATTAGCAGCCATTGGCATGCACATTGAGCACTATCTGAAAGAAAGGGTTGCTACGTTATACTCGCTGGGTGTAAACTCTTTAGTTTTAGAAAGGTTTAGCGAGCGTTGAGCTGCAGTGCCATGAATACAATGAACTAGTATATACCATGGTGGTTAAAGGTGGGAAGTAGATACGAAGCGCAAGCCGTAAGAAAGTAAAAGCCGAACTCTCCTGTCTCTCATTTCCCCTTAGCAGCCATAGGCATGTACATTGATCACTATCTGACAGGAAAAGGTTGCTACGTCACAGGCACCCGACAGTGGACCAGAGGGCGCGACGAAGCTTTTTGGGCCGCCTCAGCATTGTTGGTACCAACCGCCAAGGATACTAAGGAAATGAAACTCGCAGAACACAGTGACACGCTGAAGTGTCAGTGCCCTTTTTGGCACGTTTTCAAGAAACACTGCCTGGGTGCTTACATAATCAGCCGTGACCTTCCTGCTCACAACTGAAAAAAAAGTGATATGCACGTGAAAATGCGATTTTGCTGCATCCACTCGCTAGGCTACGCATTGGAAGACTCGGTATTGCTGCGCCTACTCGCTTGGCTGTGTGTTTTGGCGCTACAATCAGATCTCGTAAACTGCATTGCCAGGTGCCTATACTCACTGGGCGTAACCTCGTTGGTTTTAGAAAGGTTTAGCAAGCGTTGGGTCGCAGTGCCATGAATACAGTGAACTAGTATATACCATGAACTCGAGCTGGTTAAAGGTGGGAAGTAGACCCGAAGCGCAAGCCGTAAGAAAGTGTGCGTGTGCCACCTCTAGTTTAGTATATGGAATGTCCGTTGGATAGCGGTGCTTCTATATGGGGAATATATGATGAAAAGATGCGAGATGGTGGTACTTCGAGTGTTGATGAGAGGGACGAACGGACACACAGACAGATGCATGAATGGACGCATGAACAGACGCACGAACAGATGCACGCACGGACGGGCGGATGGACGCATGGACGGTCACACAGACGGACGCATGAGCGGATGGAAGGAAGAACGAATGGACGGACGAATGCTTCGCCCACTCTCCATCATTCACTCAGTGCATATGCTGCCAATTTTTTCACAGTCCCCTGTCGTCGTTTTTGTCTCAGCTCTGCACTGCTCAAAATGGTTTTTAACAATCTACAGAGTCGTCTCTTTTCCGTCTTTCAGGAAGGTTTTTATGTAGTTGTATACATTCCCTTTATTTTTTACTTTCTTTCCACAGTTCTCAATTTGTGCTTTTCATCCTTTGCATTTTGCACAAATTTTTTCTGTGTGCTTTGACTACTTAATAACTTTTCTTAAGAGTGTCTGTGTTGCATTGTTGTTTGTACTGTTTGATTTTTGCGTGTGCCTGCAGAAAGACCTCATGTTTGTTCCAGGACACTTTAAATAAATTATTGATTGATTGATTGATTGATTAAATTACGATTAAATTGATTGATTAAATTACGATTAAATTAAAGGACCACTCAGTTGACCAAGTGATCTCCAAAAGTTTTTTTGTGAGTTTTCGGTGGGTGGGATTTCAGCGACCCTGAAAGTACAGTGTCATGTTTAGGAATAAAACATATCTGTGATGGTAATGTTAGAATGCATCACGTAGGTAGAAACGCTAAAAATGAATGAAAAAAAATATATGTAGACTTACCTTCATAAATTGCGTGCATCTCCAACATATAACAGCGTCTATCAGAAATATAACGTAATGCTGTTTCACTTCTATTTGTAGATGGGCGTTTTTGCAAATTGAGACGAACGAGCGCGCGAAGGACGACGCTCAAGCCTATGCAGCCGGAGCTCTGGAGGCGTACCTTACGCGGCAACTGATCGAATACCACTGGACAAACATGTTCGGAGGCTACTGCGAGAGCCAGCCGCAGTACTGCCGTAAACTGGACCAGTTTTTCGCCGAAAACAACAAATACTCACAACAGCACCAGGATCACCGCAAGCACAACGAGCCATTTTGGCACATGGTGAAGCATCCAGCACTACACATAACAATATACAAAGTCGCTTGCAGACGCTCGAAAAGCTTGGCGTTTACTTTGTTTGGTGGGGCGATGTATTAATCTTGAAATCCAATGACAGATACATGTCGAGTTTTCCTGCTTCGTAAGGAGCAGTCGCATTAGAATGGCAGGTGAGGAACGTGAATTGTGTGTTTCAACGGCAGATTTAGAGCAGCCACAGAGAAAGGACCGGTCTGTGCAGCAAAAAATCTTGCGACACCGAAATCAGCGGTATATGTTTGTCGTTCGTGCTTCTTAGAAAACGCATGTTATCTAAGCTAAGTTGATCCAAGTCGCCAGACGCGAAATAAAATGCGCTGAACTGAGAATCTCAAGCGTGCTTACGACAGCAAAATACAGCCTTCTGCCGCCTCAATTGGAAATGCCTCGCGCAAATAGCGCACACTTCTTCAAACATTCAGTGTCAAGAATGACAGTGAAACAGCTATTTTAGATCTGCTTTCTATGAATCACGTCATCGCGGGAAAATGTTATTTTGTTTCAGAACCTAGGCACCCCATATTATGTAGCAGCTACAGTGCCAAATAAAATATAGCTGAATAAAATATGCCCGTTTATACTTTATAAATATATATAAAGGGTGTTTGAAATATCCCGATGCAAGAGTTTCAAAAAAAAAAAAAGAGGACAGCGTTACGCGAAGCAAGCCTCGTGCATATTGGTCCCAGTACAGTACTATGGGCACAGAGAAAGTTTTATTATCGAGGTCTCACTAACAAGTTAAGTTGATATTTTTTACTCGAGTAGTACTCACTTATCAAAACGTCAATGAGTCATTTGCATGCACCCTCAAATGCATCTAACTGCAGTATTTTTAAGGAGATAATATTTATGTGTCGATTTTCTTTCTTGGCTGATCAACCAAATACATCTATCAGACCTTTCGAAGTAATCAACAGGTGTAGTGCAGTCAACCTAAACAGATATACATTAGAGAGAATTGAATGAGTCTGAAATAAACGAACGAAGCGTCATACAAGTGAAGAAAAAGCTGGGTGCAGCCGAAGTACAGATATTTGCGCTAAGTGGCAAGTAATCAAGTTAGCGTCACTACCAAAATGGAGACGACACCTGAAGTTGCTGATGAGTTCTGCAGCGATCTCTATTGTAGTCAGATCAATCAAGATGGTAAAGTAAAGAGTAGAAGTGGACAGCTTGTCAGTAACGACAAGGCAAGTGCACAACGCCTGATATGGTAATGCGAAGAAGCCGAACGAGTTAGTAGGGTCTGGTTACCTTAATATTTCAAAAGACGAGCTAGAAAAACTGGCTGCTCTGTTCGAAAATTTATCTTCGCGGTGAGGGTACTGGGATTTCGGAAAAGTTGAAACATCATCGTTATTCATAAGAGCGAGAACGAGACGTCAAGGACACGAAAAATTGCAGGCTGATTAGCCTTCTGCCCATTGTGTGCAATATATTGGGAAATGTAACGGTTATTAAATTGGGACTGCTTTAGATTGCAGTCACCCTAACAACCAAGAATGAGTGTGTACAGGGTACTCTAAAAGGAATAATTTTTGCTCTACCAATTAGAATTGCAAATAAGGGCGCGAAAAAAAAAACTAAACTTTTTATGACCTTCAAAAATCACGAGAAAGCATTTGATTCAGTGGAACGCTCATTTTTCACGCAGGCACTTTGGCATCATTTAGTCGACGAGCCATATATAGAAAAACTGCAACAAATCTACAGTGACTCCACAGCCACGACAGTAATGCTTAAGTAGGGCTACGAAATTCAAATGCAAAAGGGGGAAATGCAGGCTGATGGGATTCCCTTAAAGATATTTACCGCGTACTTACAGCAGCTTTTTGGGGTCCTAGATTGGGAAACGTTAGGGATTACAATTAATGGAGCGTACCTTAGTAATAGCTGGTTAACTCTCGACATTACGGTGACGTAGAACTCAAAGGACGAAAATAACGAAACAAGTTTATATTTAAGGGTTTGTTTTCTTGCTGTCATTGTCTGTTTCAATAATCAAGAGTCGAAATGCAAAACATCATCGCTGAATTCGGCGATAGAATGAGAATGGTAGGTGTGACAATTAACATGCAGAAAACTGGGGTAAACTTAAGCAATGTCCTACAGTTACGGAAGAGAACAAAGCTTTGCGATAGGTAGTGAGGTACCGAATATGGCTAAATAATACGTCTGTGCAGGACAGGGAGTTGACGTATTTGTGGGATTTACCGTCCTAAATCCACCATATGATTATGAGAGACGCCGAAGTGGAGGGCTTCGGAAATTTCGGCCACCTGGGGTTCTTTAATGTGCAAATAAATCTGAGCACACGGGCCTACAGCATTTCCGCCTCCATCGAAAATGCAGCCGCCGCAGCCAGGATTTGATCCCGGGACTTCAAGAACAGGTAGTGGTCAAGGACACGAACAATGAGACTTAAGTCACTAGAAGGAATAGAATAGGATAGAGAGCATCTGGCAAGAAGTTTCCTTTCACGGATGGCATTGACCCCAGTCCTTCAAAGGAATGGTATGTAACAGCTGCATCTTTCCTGTACTTACTTACAAAAGAGAGACCTGGAAGCATAATAAGAGTGTTCAACTTGAAATGAAGATGACGCAGTGAATATTAGAAAGAAAGAGGACAGATGCATTCTAAAGGGACAATAAGAAAGCAGTGTTGGGGAAGAAACAAATGGGTGTTAAGGATATCTCAGTCAAAATCAAGAAGAAACGGGCAAGGCCTGGACAAGTAGCGTGTGAACAAGATAACCGCTGGTTATTAAGAGCAATGGACTTGATTCCACGAGAAGGCAGCGCGTGGGGGGGGGGGGGGGGGACACGGAAAGTTGAGTAGGGAGATGATATTGGCAGTTTGCTGCGACAGTGTGGTTGCTTCAAGTTCGCGATCCGGTCAACTGGCGAAACATAGAACAGGGCCACGCAGTGAGCGTAGTGAGGCTGGTAATAATTAGTATACGTTTTTCCAGGGCGGGGGAAGTGGGGTGAAGTATACACGTAACCTAGAAGTAAGTATGGTCGGCTATGATTTTAATATATGAGTACGTGCAAGCACTGCTGTCGGTGACACTAAGGTTTCATCGTACGCGTGACCACTGTGGTTATTGAGCGTTCTCAAAAATAATGCCGCATTTTTTTTACTTTGTGTTGGTCCATCTTCCTAGCAATAAAAAAGAGAATATTGTATGTTTGACTAAACACAACTCAAGGAGCTGATGTGCCACTCACAGTATGCTTTTCAAGTATTTCACACTTTTCAAACGCAGGTCCATCTACAAATGAAGCAATTGGCGGGTCTCAACGATGAGTTAGAAAACAACGCTTTAGACTATTCGAACAAGCTGACGGGCATCCCGAGAGTTCAGTAAGTGGATCATTTTTTCTAATAGGTCAGGTTTTCGTTTCTTCTACAGAATTCTGTATTTTTATTACCCCGCCGCGGTGGTCTAGTGCCTAAGGCATTCGCGTCTGACCCGCAGGTCGTGGTATCGAAACTCAGCTGCGGCGGCTGCATTTACGGTGAAGGCGAGAATAATGTAGGCCCATGTGCTCAGATTTGGATGCACGTTAAAGCACCCCAGATGGTCAACATTTCCGGAGCCTGCCACTACGGCATCTCTCATAATCATATGGTGGTTTTGGGACGTTAAATCACACACGCTATTATCGCTATTAACTTTATATTTTTATTGCCTACAACAACACAAGTTATATGCTTCTGTGCAAATTGCTTTTTTAACTGTTTAATTTTAGTCTTCTTCTGCGCAATACCTAATATTGTCATGGGGTCGTGAGGTAGACAAAAGAAGCACAGTGTGGGCCGATAATTAAACTGTGCATTCGGTTGAACCTGAGGCCTGTCAACGAAGAGTCAAATTACAGCGGTACACACTGGCACTGGTAGCAGCGAACTAACCGTCAGCCGTCGAATAACTTATCTCTGGTTGTCGCGCAAGCACTAGAATAAACTAGAATGTTTGCGTCTTGCACCCAATCGTAACAGAACGATATACATTAATCACCAACCTTCTCGAACAATGAGGCCAAAATTTCACTGAGCATTGCTGACAGGCTTTGTGGGTGAAAACCGAATGAAGCAAAATTGAAAACAAGAAACGCGCGTGGAAATACTGACTTGAGCAGTCCCTTTAGCAGGATCGAATGTTGGCTTAGTGCAACAGTAAACAAGGCTGCCATTTATTTTTTTAGTTGAAAGAAAGGCATTAATTGCTTAACAGCAAATACAGATGAAGAATGAAGCAATATGATTTGTTGAAAAGTATCTTCTTTTAGAACTCAGAACCGACAAATATTACAGCTTCTCTGTAGAATTCAGCAAATTCTATTGTGAGAAACGGTGCTTATAACTGAATTTTGATATCGTCATCCACAAATATGTCAACTGTGAAATAAAATTTCCAAGCTAATACTTGCGTTCTTTCGTTCTATTATGCAAACAAAAATGGGTGAAATGGAGAATATTTTGTACATTAGGGCTCGTATGACATTGCACTTTCCAACGAGCCGCGATCACACCTATAACTAGAGGTAAACCAACATGCTTTTTCAATCAATCAGACAAAGAAGAGCCAGCTTCACTTCATGGAGACTGATGAAGCGGAGAAGCATGGTGATGGTCCTTTCTTCAGGGTCTGGTTAACGTATCGCTATCGTATGTTAACACGATAGCGTTTAAGAGCTCATTTCGCAAAAATTCCTGTGTCGGTGTCGGCATCGTTGGCTGTGAGCGAAAAATCATCATGATGTGCGTGGCTGAAAAATAAAAAAAGATTTACAAATTAATTGAGTATCGAAAAAATTCTGCGTCTGAGTAAGCATCGATTCCGGGCAGCTTGCGTGGCAAGCCAGTTTTCTAACACAGAGCCATGCCTCTGCTAGGAAATACAGTGAAAAATAACTTCCTCTGCTTGTAAATGCAGTGAAAGTAACTTGCATGTTTTACAAACCAACGCATCCTGTACACATGCTTCACAATGCAACATGTAATATCGCAGTAATAAGGCGTAGCACAACCATACACTGCGATCGGGATTCAGAGCATTATCATGAATTTATGGTTTAAAGCGGGCCAACAACTACAAAAGGCACACACTATACTGCGCTTTCTCCCTTAAGGGGAAATGCTACTCGAAGACACGTTTTTAAAATAATCACCCTAGAGCAATGAAACTTGACCTGTTTATGTAAATTAGTATGCTGATTTCAAATACATAAATATTTTTGTTGCAAGTTGCATAAATTTCAGCTCTGCGACACAACAAAGTGATAATTTTAACCCTTATGCCTCCCCTCTTTTTATCCCTAAACTTCCGTAATTATTTACCATTCATAGTTCATAATGTTTTCTGATAAAGCGTGGAATGCAAATAACTAATTAGGAAGCACACAAAAATATGTAATAGGCGGGAAAAATAATAGGTGTAAAAAAGTACACATTTCACCTACGTACAATTTTTCATTATATAAGAAATATTAAAATTTAAGATGGATGATTGCATTTGTAGTACTTTGAAAAAACTTGGGCAAAATTTTATGCACATTTGAGCACTAGAAGTACCTGAAAAGGGAGGGGCATATTGAAAAAAATGCAAACTTTGTGTTTTCAGAAAAACGAGTTTTAAAGTTAAAGTTAACTTTTTATTTATGAAAGATGTCATTAAATTCAATAAAATTTGCACACCAAAAAGAACAACCCCTTTTGTAGTGGCCATTCTCACTAAAATACGCCAGCACCATGAGTAGGTCCTTCTCGGCTTTTTTGAGCCGACTCCTTGCAGACATTTCGCTCACAGACAGGGCCATGAAATGCTTGCCGCTCCATCTGGCACAGCTTTGTGCCGACTGCAAGCTAGGAGGAAGTTCGACAGGACTGCGAATTCTAAACTAAGTCTAGTGTCAAGGATCACAACAGTGCCGATGCCAATTTGTGGCTACGTTTGTGCCAAATACCATTGTACATAATGGCAATGTCGTCCTCTATAAGTTCCATCGACCTCTCAAGATTGGTGCTGACGTCATCCGTTGCCGCATCACGAACTTTCCGGCCGATGTCTGTGGATGACTTTTGATCCATTGGCTTTTGCAAGCTAACAAGTGCCGCAAATCTGCCCAGCTGCTCGTAGCCTATTCCTACAGAGCGCGCCGTCACAACGGCTTTTACGGACGAGCAATGGTTTTTTTATTCACAATGCAGATAGATACACGAGAAATGCTTTGCTCAGCTGCGCTGCTCGTCAAGACATGGACCCCGCAAGAAAGCTTCACCGCACATACAAGCGCGCAGCGGCTAACGGCGGTCTCCGATCTGTACCACATGATGAGCCAGTCGTGGCGCTCGGAAAACGCGCATAAGCGTGATTTTTTATATTATTTATTGCGTCGCATAAGTGAGGGAAACTGTCGTTAGTTGAACAGGGAGGCTCGACTCTTCGCCTCATTTAATCGACAATGGCAAGCGGCGGTGCATTATCGGCGGGAAGATGCTCGAAGAGTGCCCACTTTCAGGCCTTTTAACAGGCAGCTCGTGCTCTTTAGACGCAATTCTAAATCCAGTTAAGTCTCGACATGTATTTTTTTTCAGAATAGCAGGGGTACTAATCTATCAAAACAGGTGAAAATAAAAAATCTGTAATTTTGAAGAAACTCGCGTTTTTCGACCCGTATCTTCCCTTAAGGCGACGTGGTGGATGCGTAGGAAGTTCTAAAAGGTTTCACGTGCATCAGTATTGGCCTTGGTTTAAAGAACGCTCGAAATTACTTAGAATGTTGCCGTATGCGGAACTTAGCAGACACAAGCCATTTTTAACTCAGTACGCACTAGGGACAGCGTATTGCTGTCACGTTCAACCCTTAAAGACGGAATTTAAGGGTTCCCCAACGTTTTTCCCTAGTCTTTCACATGTTTTCTATCACTGCACTTTAATAAAAACTCTGTGTTGACCTTTTAGGTACAAGTATCGCAACCAAAATTTATAACCAAAAAGTATCACGTGGCAGTGGTGTTACTATGGTAACGCACGAGTCAGTACTTCATCATTTGTTCCTCCCTTTTAGTGTAAGTTGTGTGCACTGAAATTGAGGATGATAGTTTTTTAATAGGCTGCAAAGATTGGTTAATAGATGGCTTCAGTTTTTGTGGACGAGTTGTGAGTTGTGAGATTCAGCCAATTAGCGCGGCACGCACCAAATTATGATGCTCAGAATTGTTACCGTATGAAGCCTGGACATGTAGGGTTCCACCGAGAGCTTCTTTATCAAATTTCTTTCTTAAAGAAAAACAAGTTTCGTCGGAGTCAGGTCTCGTAAGCTAAGTATCTAATGTACTTAGACACTATGTTAATCAAAACGAACAGACCATCATGATAGCGAACGGAGAGGATATTTTGTAGTAATTGTATTGTAAATATGAAGAAAGAAAAGCGAATAATAATATAGACAACATGTCGCTGGCAAGCACCAAACCTACGACCTTCCAATAACGCACCGATATTCGAATAGCTGAGCTACAGCGGCGGTCATCTTTCCCTCCACTTTAAGAGGTACATATGTGCGCTTAAATTCGGAAGTGTGAGTCAGCGAAGCCAGTACGTAGCCAAGATGTCGAGTGTGGAACACTCTTTTTATACTCTGGCGCTGCGTAGCACGTGAATCTTTTACTACCTGGTATGTAATCATTAGTCTCTTTCATACTAACTGAGGCGAATGAAGGGATTAGTGAAAATTTAAGGGCTCGCTTTTCTTTGTTAGACAGAAGGTCATTGAGAAGTAATCGACAATAACTCTAAAGAAATACAGGAAATGAAAGTATATTGTGAATGTGAAGAAAAAAGCGAGTTTTATAAATAACTTGCCACGATAAGGACCAAACCTGCGACCTTCCATTAGGGCGGCCGATATCCTACTAACAGGGGTATATGTATCCAATTTATGGGGTATATATGTGCACCTAAACGTGGGAGTGTGTGTCAGCGCCACTAGTACGTAGTCTTGACGATGAGTGTGGAACTCTTTTTTCTACGTGTTAGCGCAGCGTATAGCACGTGACCTCATTACTACCTGTAAGGTGACCAGCAATCTTTCGCATACTACCCAAAGCCAACAAGTCTGCCAGAAAAATATCCGCGCTAAGAATGAACAAAACGTGAAAATTTAAAAGCTTGTTTTTTTTATTTAGTCAGAATATCAATGAGAACCAGCCTACAACATGGAGTTTTAGAATAGCGTTAGCAGGTGTTGCGGCCATTGCTTTAGTTGTGGCCACGATGTGAGTTTTAGAATAGCGTTTCTTTCCCCTAGAGAAAAGTCCAGGAACTTTCGCCCCGACCGCGAACCCAAATGCACGGAAGCTACACACAGCACTTCGCGGGCCGCATGTGGGCTGCACATGCCGCGCGCCATTTCATAATTCCCGCAGGCGGGCCGCGAACGCGAACGGCAGCTCGCGTTACGACGCATCTGCAGTGGCAGGCAGCAAGCGCACCGCAAGGGTTCGCGGTGGGCTATTTTAAAACTTCCTAATAATCCCAAACGAAGTTTACAAGGTGTTATCAGCAATAATTGTAAGGCAAACGGGAAGAAATAAAAGTGGACCAAAGATAACTTTGCGCTAGCGGGTAGCAAACCTGCGACCTTCGAATAACGCGTGCAATACTCTGCCAGCCAAGCAACAGCACCGGTCATTCCACCGTGTACTATATGAAGTATATATATGCACTGAAACGTGGGAGCGTCAGTCAGCGCCACCTGCTGCCATTTTGGTGAATGTGGAGCACACTTTTTGCTTGTTGACGTCACGCAGCGTGCGTTCTTATTAGGAGCTGCAGCTGACTAAGAATCCCTCGCATACTACCGGAAGGTATTAAGTACGAGACCCTTTCTACGAATGAAGGGAGGAAGTGAAAATTTAAGGGCTCGCTTTTTTGTTAGGCAGAATATTACGGCGATCTAATTAATTACGAATAATGACTGCTGTAGCTCAGTTACCATAGTATCGAATGCGTTATTTGAAGGTCGCAGGTTTGGTTCTTGCAGTGGCATCAACGTTTCATCGATTTTTATTTCTCCACATTCGCATCGCATTTACTAGTAACATCTCCTATACTTACCTTGTCATCATGGTCTTTTAGTTCTAATTAATATTGCGCCTAACAAAGGAGAACGAGTTCATAAATTTCCGTGTACAATGTTGTCTAACTTAAAGCGAACCAAAGCATAATCTCAGAAGGAACGCTTCAGTCTTTGAAACAGATGATTGCACTGCATTCCCGAGGCGACATGCAAATGTCTTTGGCACCTTCTTTCAAAATAATCTGAACTATGCTTAGAAATCAGCGGCAACAACAGGAGATTATAGAGCAACTTTAACTGGCGTGTGCAAGAACAGTAAGTAAATTCAGTCTTGGAGTCAGTCAAACACGTGCTACTCACTACCATTTCTTCTACATCGTACTGTGCAAAATGCGGTGATGCGCTGTCCGTCGTTCATGTTTTAATCATGTGCCCGTGGCTAGAACCAGGAAGGAGTCGACTCTTCACAAAGCTGTACAAATCCCGCGTACCATTGCAGTCATTCTTTTTTACTTGTGAGGAGTGCATGTTTCATCCAAGATTATTAGTTTTAGGTCTGTTAGGTAGTGTAGTGTTTATTCGCTTCATTTCATCTCACTAATCTCAGGCTGCCCTAAATTTAGGTGAACTAACTGAGATTTCTTTTTTTAAATGTCACGCGGCAGGCACTCTATGTTCTGACATCGAGTATTGCCGAAGCGGAGTTATTGTAAAAATGTCCATAGGCAGTGCCTGTCTTTTTTTTAACTCACCACACAATGTTCTTACTGCTAACTTTAGGCTCTATGCAGCAATGCTTCTTTGTCACCTTGAATATTTATTTAAAACCGAGTCAAGGAGCAAACATGTGCTCATCGCTCGTTGCATGAGTTGCACTTGCGCCATAAAAGTCTACCATCAACATCAGCAGTAAATGAATGAAGGTGTTTTAGGGGCCGAAATCAAGTTGTTTTTATGAAGCTCGTGGTAGCGTACTTTAGAGTAATGTCGACCACCTGCGGTTATTTAGCATTGATATAAGTGCACGGATGTTATAATCAGTACCCGAATTACAAATGCGTCAATGATGGTCAGAAATCGAACCGGCGTCCTATACGTTATAGGACGGTGACATGTTGGTTAACAATCTCCGATGGTGCTCACTACAACGACACATATATGTCTCTATCGATGTTTGGCCGCTTCTTTTGTGAAAGCGCATACGTTGTTCACCAGGAACACGGATCGTTCACGAGTATGAAAACATGTCGTACTGCAGTTTCCAAGATTGTTAGCACTGCATATAGAGATAACAAACAATATGCGCGAACATAAAACGAGGAGCTGCATGTGAAATCATAAGAATCCCAATAAAATTTTTAATGTTTTAAAAGTTTCATCATAATGTGCAACGGCGTCAAAGAATAACAAAGACCAAGTCATGCATTCGTTGTTATTTTTTGTTGTTTGTCAGGCTACCAAACAATAGATGCCATCATTAATTGCCAGCAAACTTAAATCTTTTATCGTACACTGCATGAATACACGACAAATGCATTTTATAAATAAGAAAACGCTTCTTTGTTTAAGATGGTGAATAAGGCATGAAAGTTGGGACAACCATAAGGACATACTATGTTTATGTGGGAATTCGTCATAAACGATGGTTCGGTTGAATTTATGAATATCAGAAAGACATTTTTGACTAGCAGGACGATTAGAATTGGAGCGCAAATATGATAATCCTAGTCACTTTATTCTTCAGAACCAAAGGTAGCACAATTAGGCAAGCGTAACCCAGATACATAATTGGACTGTGTAAGAGCAGCATCCGTGAGAATATAAGAGCACTGCATATTGAGTTTGAGTGAGGATGCGTGTTTCTTGATTGCTTGAGGGCGCTGTTTTAATAAGCTATTTCTAAAACGCCGCTCATTGTTTTGTTGTTTTTAGTATCGAAGAAACACTAGCGAAATGAAAAATAGAACGATTGGTGATGTAATAATAATAATAAAGTGTGGGGTTTAACCTCCTAAAACCACCACATGATTCTTAGAGACGCCGAAGTGGAGGGCTAAAGAAATTTCGGTTCCCTGGGGTTTTTGTAGTACCATTCGTACGAAACAAATTCTCATTTGACGAGGCCTCATTTTTTTGTATGTGTGATTTGTTTGTGTTCTGTATCCGCCATGTGTCCAGGTAAGATGCGACCATCAATAACATATGCTCGCCCGACAAGCGTCATTATCTACAAAGGCGCGCTCCTGAATGGAATAAAGGCCACTGAAGCGCCTGTCTGCTGCTTTGAACAAAACAGTTTCTATAAATGATAGATTATGGTGCTCATATGAGTATAGAGGCACTATCCGAATTTCGCAGAAACAGAAGTGAATTAGGTGGCATGTAAACGTTCTTCAATCGTATCGAATGCCGCAGGTACCTCAACGCTCAAGGTGACATCCAGGACTTGGAGCACGTATTGGAGCGTGATTTGGACGTCTATGCCATTGACCAGATAATGGCTTGTTCTGCTGTCATCAAAGTAGTCGGAGACAACGAGGTTCTCATCTTCGGTCATGACGCGTGGTTCGTCTATCGGGCGATGCTGCGCATCCAGAAACACTACATTTTCCCTTGGCATCTCACGGCTTCTCGGACGGAACCAGGTATAGGCAATACTTCTCGCCACAATGTTTGTATAAGGGAAGCATTTGTGGGTTCCTGCTTCAGCAGGCCTTCGTTGCTTTGGCTGCTACATTTGATACGCGAGGCATATTTTTGTAGACGAATACAGTTTTCAAGGTAGATCTTTGTGCGAAAACTTTGCTATTGGGAACCCGACGCTTACGCTTTTATTTTTCAGTGTTCTAAGCTGTCCAGAATGCCTTTAGTACGTGCTTGATCTCAGTGCGTCTCACCTCATTTTTTACTTTGCATTTTCACGGGTGTAACATACCCATTGTGAAGCTTCATTGTTGTCATAAAATTCAGCACTGCGGAGGTAACCACAATAATACATTACTTATTTACCGAGGGGGACACAAAATTGGGCAATAATTCTTGGTGTCAGCGGCTCAATTATTTAAGATTTATTAATTGACTTGTGAGTGATCACAGCAAGCGGGCATATTTGTATTGAAAAGTTGACGCAGTAAAGAATCTACGCTGTTACACGTAAAATGATCCTTCTAGCCTGTCTCTGTGCCGAGATATCCCACGGCGAAGTTTTGACGTACTGTTTATGATTATGCAAGAAGCGGCGAAGATCTGTGCAATGTTTCTCCTCGAGGTGACGAACAGTCATAGCTTGCTATTGCCAGCCGATAATAACAGGGTAACCGTTGTCATTTTCGTCAAAACCTTCGACTCCTTGTGAAATAAATGACGCACGCAACAGCCGCGGCCCATCAACGAGGAGCTTCGCGGCAGGTCTGACTGTCTTGAATGCGTAATCATGGAAAACACAAATAAACATTGCCGTGGGGTATCTCGCATCGCAGACACGCTAGAAGAATTCTTCCATGTGTAACTGCGTACAGACTAGACTGTCTCTAACTATGCAATACAAATATGCCCGCTTATCGCAGTCACTGAAAAGTCAATTAATTAATCTTAGATAATTTGGCCACTGACAACTAGAATTACTGCCTCAATTTGTGGCCCCCTGAATACATGAGTTATCTGTAAAGGTGCTTTTTATAGTCTTCGCAGTGCTGAATTTTAGGAAAACCACTAAGCTTATGCCTGAACACCCGGTATGTTCAGAATCAGACAGTTCGAAAGGCTATGTTACTCTGACTCCGGCCGCGGCGGTCACATTTCGATGGGGGCGCAATGGTAGAGGCACGTGCGCTGTGAGAAGTCAATGCAGATGGTCAACATTTCCGGAGCCCTCTACTATGGCGTCTTTCATAACCATAACGTAATTTTGGAACGTAAAATCCCAGATATTCTTAGGCTAAGTTACATTGTCATTCTACATGCCAAGGCAGGTGCCAAGCGCAGGCCATCAGTTTCGAGCACGCGTCAGGCACACCATCAGATTCCCATCGATTTGGCAGTGGCGAGTGTCAGAATGCCTGAACTTCGTGTTTGCTTACTGTCGCTACGTTTATGAGACCAAGAGAGCGACTTATGAAGATGAACAGAAGCTAATTGTCCCGTATATTTTCTTCATGTTGTTGTTTTTTTTTGTTACAGAGGACGTCGTTCCCGGTCACACGTGGACCATATCTTCATATCCCGGGATGCTAATGTCCTGGGACAGCTTTTACCTCACTTCAGGAGGACTCGTAAGTTGTAGATAATGGTTTCCGAATATTTTATAATGTGCTCGTTATTTTCTCCGTGAAAATGAAAAAAAGCATTTTTATGTTGCGGTGCTTGGATCTTCAATAAGAAGGCAGTCTTAGGCTACTCAGCCTGTCTCGCGAAAAGCTTCACATTCGTATTTGCAAACCTCTGGTCGGCCTGAATGCCATGAAGTTACATTGTTGGCCTTATAGTCATCCACTGTTATTTGCTGTATTGTTTTAAGTGACATGCTTCAACCCTAATTGTTATGGTAAAACAGCGACCAATATGTGAAATCATTCAGTTTGCACAAATGAGCAGCCTGGACAACGCCGCCATTTCGCCAGAAAGTACACGACTGCAAACGTTTTTGGAGAAACTGCAGTCTTAGGTAACTAGGTAGGAAAGTTGTGTAAGTAGAATATCAAAACGCACCATCACGATTGAACTTAAGACTTAGAAGTGCACGAAAACACATAACAGAAAAGATTGAAAAGTCAAGCGTGTACGTGCGTTTCACAAATTAACCGCTAGTACTAGGTTCATAAAGGAAAGAAGAAAAAAAAAAGTAGAGTAGGTAGGAATGTAAACCATGGTGCATGGCTGATTGGCTAGATAGCCCCAAAAAAATGGAAGTATAAAAAGGCAAGAGAGAAAGGAAGAAGTGGCAGGGAACGAAAAAAAAGATCATTGACGCGTTGCGACGACTCTACGATCGGTAGCTCACCTTGCCTATGATGCTGGCGCAGCGTGAACATCACTTGTCGGCTCACAAGTTAGTCAAATCACTTCTATGCTTTTAATGGACTACGGGCGTTGTGAACACCTTTGCTTTTGTATGGTTTCACGGAACCATGCACTGCAGGTAATCGCTGTGCACCTCTGCCGTTGAGCTCAAGCTGATATATATCAACTGTTGCACTGACGTTTCCATTGACGAGAAAAAAAAAAAAAACTCATAGGCTAGGATTTTGTGTCAAGTCTTTTGTGATGATATTCCCTCCTGGCTAGCTTATCGTGATGTTCCTGGTTATTAATTTGCGCATAACACTTCTTGCACTTAAAAATGTAATTTAGCCGAGGCATGTTTGCGTACAGTGATGAACATCGGTGCTTTTAAAAGCAGTGCTCATTTACCTAACTTTACATGGCGTTCTCTTGTTCATTTTCTTATGCCTTCATGGTATTTGGTGACGTACGTACTCGTCTAAGAGAGTAAAATAGACCGCCCAATAACACACACACAAAAGATACGGGACCAAGCTTTCCGCATTCGTATACTAGAGTATTTTCTTGAATGTCATCACTTTACGATGCACAAATCTGAGCCTAGAAGTTGCAGATCTCACACAACCTTTGAGGTATCATGTAATGAACGTGACGTAGGCAATAACAGAGACACAGTTGCTGAACAACAATGCCGAGCTGCTGAAGAAAGTGACTACCAGGGGCGGAATCCCCGGGTGGATAAGGGCGGCAGCCGCTTCTCGCCTCGCTTCGTCCGGTGAAGAGTGGGTGCGCGCTATGGCGACAGAAAACGGTGGCACGTGAGTATTGCAATATACCAACTACTTTCCTCGGCTATGGGGATAAAAATTCACAATCTGAAAATAAGTTTAATTTCAATAAACTAATCATTGATAAGGAACAAGAGCGAATTTGCAAGGTGGTTGAGACTTGAACAGAAGCGAGTTCGTTGGAAAAAAAAAGTTGCTGCAGTAAACGTAAAGCTTACATGAGATACTTCATTCCCTTCCAGCCTTAGTTTTCTGATAGGACGGGATTGAGTTTTTGTTCAAAAATATGGACCGGACAGGAAGAGAAAACCGACGGACGAATAAAAAAAGTAGCTGCACATTAGTAGTATCAAGACTGAGGAAAGAATGAAGCTTGTGGCCTTCCCCCTTTTTCTTTGACTCGTACTCATCCTCCATTTCCTTTTTCACCTCCTCTCTGTACTATGTGGCTTTCTTGTGCTTTGTTTACCTCTGCGTCTGCCTATTTGCCCACTTTCTTTGTCTTTATGTGTCACTCCATCTCTCCTTTTGTCGTTCTTATCTTTCATTCTCTCCGCTGCTATTTTTTTCTTTGCACTCGTTGTCTTGTCCGTTCAAGTTACAGCATCGCACGACAGACTAATCGGCACTCGCGTACTGGGAGCGAAGATCAAGACGAGATTGTACAGAGCGCGTGCTAGCCGAGCAATGCTAGCGTGCAGCAACCCGCTAGGAGGTTGTGATGCAGGGTTCTTTGTTGCTGATTTGTTTTTCTCCCGGGCTGAGCCTCAGAGAGTTTTGTTAATAAGGACAAAGCCGTTCGGTTTCCAAGAAACACACAAAACAGTTTAATTGAAAAGTAAAAAGGCAAAGATTCCTCACAAAACAAAACACTTAATAAACAGTTGACTGGACATGACGAAACACATCTGTAAACACCCAACAAGAACGGTCAAAGTCAGTAACTAAACCTAACGTTCGAAAGAGGCTGAGTGATGGGAGTAGCGCAGGAGTATCGGTGCAGTCTCACCCACAAGTTGGTTTTCGGCGGTGATGAGAAACCGGAACGCCGTGACTCCTGCGTCAGTGCGTGGGCTGGACGAGGACGAGGGAACGCTGGCTGCTGGCGACACGTCGAAAAGCCCTACCAAATCGTGATGGTTTCGGCTTGAGGAGCGTGGACACGTCGGAGACGGGAGAACGCAGGCTGGTGGCGACGCGTCCGGGAACTAGGGTCGACCTAGTCAAGCAGCTGGGCGCACAGCTCGGGCCCGGAGCCCGACGGCTGTAGCTCGCCTGCCGAACCGAAGTCCGCAGGCCCTGGAAAGGAGTTCAGGACCGGATGGCCACGGTCCTTTGGAGCGGGAACACGACGGCAGGAGGCCCCGGCCGGTTGAAGACCTGCAGGCTCGGGTCCTACGCCCGACGGCCCATCTTCAGCGCCCGGTCCGGTGACGACCTTCCGCTTGCACTGCCTGCCTCCAATTCCCCTTGCTCTGGTCTCCCCTGGCTCCTTCTTCAGCTCTGGCCCACTTGTCTCGTTCTCATTGGAGATACTACTGTTTCGTGGTGTCAAGCCATTGGGCCTTGAAATCTCCGTGTTCGCTGCCCATTGGATGTTTTACCTTTTGTTTACTTCACGTCCTGCCACGCATCCTCGTGCTTGACGCTCTTTAACGTCGTCATTCTTGTTAAGCAGCACCGCACGTGCACTCTGGTATTTCTCCTTTTGTTTTTTTTTTTTCCGTGACGCGCACTTTTCGAAGGCGCGCACTTTGAACGCGCACCACACATCACATACGCCCCCCTTTCATTCAAGTTTTTTTTTTTTTAGAAAAAAAAACTGCCGATGAGTGCGCGTTCTGCACTACGTCACA